TTTGAACGGTAAGCTATCTTTGCGCGATAATCAACTTTTCAGACTGATATGGAAAACCAATCCGTAGTTTACTCCGCAGTGAATCTATTTCGGTTTTGCACATCACCCTTTTTCAACCTCAGATGGATTTGAGCATGCAAAAATAAAACATTTATTTCCTCTTATCAGGGAACCTAAGGCTTCACGGTCCATCCCTTTGGAATGGTTTGATTTTCATCACAATGTCCTCGTGAACTTTTCGTTTTCTAGCGGGTGTGATTTTCACGATCCAAGACAAAACTACAAACGGTTATAAGATGATTGAGATAGTTCGCACGCTCTCATAGGTCACTGAAAGACAAACTAAAACCAGAAGTGAAGCTGATTCACGTATAGTCCGACCTATCAAACCTAAAGCTTTCGCGACTCCAGATTTACCGCACGAACGAGATGTTGCTGTTGTGTTCAAATCTATTCTGAAAAGAGACCACAGTCCAGAACAAACCAAATGCACCCCTTTATCAGGTGTTAATCATACTACAAAAAACTCTGATAAAAGTTGGTTCAAAGCCAATGCAATGGGAGTTAACAAACTTAACAGTCTCATGAAAACAATAGCTGAAAAAGACGGTCTTGACAACTCTCACCTTACGAACCACAGTGCGTGAAAACGAATGATTCAAACATTGAATGATAAGGGTATTCCTTCTAATCATATATAATGCAGTTATCAGGACACAAAAATGTGCAGAGTACTTACAACCACAGTCATCTTTCACAAAAAACAATGGAAAAGTATGTCAAGAATATTGAGTGGCCCGACTTCAATAGTTCAAACTGAAACACACTCTTGTCGAAACAAAGTCAAACGCCGACAGCAGCAGGGCTATTCGAGGATGCTGTGCTTTACGGAAGAAATTTCAACGTCAAGTCGTCCTCGTCTTCAACAGAAGCACATAAACAACAAACTCATAGAGGAATAACATGCATATTTGACTCTTCAGACGACGAAGACACTACATGAGTTCACCTTTGACATAGAAAGAGTCAGCTTCGTTGAAAAGCTAAGTACTTATTTTTGTCAAGCTTTTCCTCCTTTTTCTTTAGGATATTTTTGAATGAATACTTACGAAAATTAATTCGTTGCTAATAAACTGTCATGTTGTAAGCTTAGTTAATTCATTTCAGTATTTAATTTCACCATTTCCAGCCTTGATTTAACTTGTAAGGCACCTTTTTTGTTAGTTCCATAGAATTAGCTTTCAAACCTAAGTGGATACTTGTAAAAGCGACTTGATAAATCACTTTGAATTTCAAGAAAATCTCAGTTCGTATATAATAAACAAACTCACTCTCTCGCTTAGCCTCGTTCGTTCGTTTTGTGAAAGTGGTCAACTGTACCGCGGGCACGCTAACACCACGACTTTGTCCAGTAGTCCAGTGGTCAGTGCACTGGGCTCCGAGTCAGACGACCCAGGTTCTAGTCCTGGCCGGGGCAAGGCGTTGTGTCCTTGAGACGTGCAGGAAAAATGCGAGCTCCGCTTTTCGGCTTGGCTAAATCTATATATTATGCTGGAGAGCTTGTTAGTAGTAGTCCATGGTTCGGCCGGACATGTTTGCTTGCCTTTTGACTGTGAAAACTCTGGGTATAGAATGGTTTCAACGCAAGGAGTCTTGAAACAGTTAAAAAAAACACCGTGGGCAGCTATGGAGGACTTTCCTGGTAAGTAACTGTGTTTTCTTCTCGATCCGTGCCTTATCCTTGCTAAAAAATAATAGGGAAGAAAACACAGTTACTTACCAAGAAAGTCCTCCATGGCTGCTCACGATGTTTAAAACCCCCTGCGTTGAAATTATTCTGTGCCCAGAGTTCTCACGGTCAAACAGGCAAAATCCAGCCGAACCATGGACGCTGGAAATCATCGGCTACTACAGACAAGCTCTCCAGCATATTACTCTTTTCTCGAGACCACCGAAAATTATACTTTACAAATTCGGCGCAAAAATCAGGTCTGTTCAAGTCCCCGAGTCCCACGTCCCCGAGTCCCAGTCCTCACGTCTCAGTCTCACTTTTAGTCACAGCCCTAAATCCCTCATATGCGGTGAAACATGGTTTACCTACCAAACATGTCTGAGGCATCAGAAGGCTGCGCGTTAGAGGACAAAGCGAGTTGTACTCGAGTTTCTGCCGAGAATAACATAAGAAGGAGATTTGTGGGAACGAAGTCTAATGCTGGAAAGACGACTGAAAAACTCGTAGGTACAATGTAGTTGATATCGGCTTGTAATTCACTATGCACGTGCACACGTTTACGTCGAAGGAACAGAATTGTAATCGTTCCCACTCTCAAACCCATTTTTAACGCAATTTCTTCATTTCTCTTCCTTTTTTTGTCGTATTCCTTTCCTTTAGGTGCACACGGTATAATTTTTACGTTCATGTCGTACTTTAATATGTATCCTAAGCCCAATAAATGGATGAAAACTGAGTTTTTTTTTTTTGCTTGTTTTGGTTTGTTTTGTTTTAATTTCCTTGTCTGTAACCTTGCACTGTTACTTATAATTTGATATACTAGTCGAAATCCTCAGCCCTGGACCCAGTATACATGCCTAAGTCTCTGATCCCTGGGGGATAATATGTTAAGATTTCCGCTCAGCTCCATTCTTCATTATGCATACATATCTTGGATAACTGAAAGAAAACGATGGCGAAAACAATAGATTACCTTTGTTTTACAATTGTATGGGACTGTACGGAAATCTTGCTGAAAATATTCCGATCAAACTTTCTGTTCCTTGAGCAAATATTGTCAAGGGATTAAAAAAAAATAGTCACTGTCATTGAAATGCCTTACATTCCCTGTTATTCAAGAAATAGGAGCAAGTAAGAGAAGAGTTGTTCGTCAGATTCCAGATGAGATTGTCACCAATCTTGAGCTGCAAGATACTGTAAGGCAGGTAAATAATGAGAAACTTCACAGGACCCTGGGTTCACTTGACCCTTTAACCCCATAAGTGACCAGGAAAGAATTTCTCCTTACAATATCAGTACAATATCAAGCAAACAAGTGATGAGAATGAAGAAAAATATCAATTAGGGGATTAATAGCTGATCCAATACCCAACTTCTCAGAACTGACATCAAAAGAATTGTTGGGCAGACAGTAAGGAGAATTACTAATGAGATCTTGGGAGTCAAAGGGTTTAAAAAGTAAGTTAATTACTTTCAAGCCCCTTTCAACTGATTTAGTTTTATAAAATCCAACTAGGTTCATCATTGGGATTTTCAGTCAGCAGACTGAGTGTGGAAAGAAATTAAAATGTGACTTCTTTAAGTATAAATGTATTATAAGTTGCTCTACACAAACTTGAATCCTTTTCAGCATGTCATGATGTCACTGAGGCCTGTAGGATTGTTATTTAAGAATCAGATCTTATTTTTCAAGTTTATTTTAATTTTGCAGTCTGTGTACTAAATTAACCATCCTTGTCCAAACCTTTTTTTTTTTTTTGCAACTTTTTTTTTTTACATATATTTGAAATGTGAGACATTTACAAAGAGTGTGTTCTAGATAACTGTTATTTGTCTGGAATGGTCATCATCAAAAACAGGTCACAACAGTTTAACCAACTAGCTACAATTCATTTTCTATATATCAGATTTTGCACCAATAGAGATCAGGGTAAATATTGCTTTCTAACCGAGATAATTAATCCTTTTACAACAGTTACCTCCTAACTACAATTTTGAAATCTTCAAGTCAGTGTGGAGGAGTTAAGAAATAAATGCTGAAAGAGGTAAATAAGCCCACATTAGTTGTTAAATTTTGTTTGTGTCTTGTTCTTATGCAACACACTTGACTCCACCTTATAATGCCTTTCTCCACCTGAGTGCAAAGAAAAAAAGATGAATTTCTCTGCCTGTCCCTGATTAACACAGCCTGACTTAACAAAGCAGCTGAAGAGATTCTTTAAGAATCGAAACCCCCGGTCCTGCTAGACGATATACTTCACTTTCAGTTTTACCTGAAAAAGATGTCAGCTTTTGAAACACCATTGCGGCCACCAAAAACGCCAGACTACCGTCCAAATCTGGACGAGGCGATGGAATTAACGTACACTGATCCGAACCTAGAATCGTACCCAGAGGATAGCCCTCCAGCATCACAACTCGAGCCAAGGCATAAAGCTGAATTAGCCAAACAACGCAGCAACAAGGTCTACGCCTTCAAAAAAGAAAGCCGTCAAAAAGAAAACCTTCCGAGGAATAGCCGATCCACGCGGCAGCCAAGGAAGAGGAAACATGAAGACACCATCAGCGCTATCCAGTTCAAGAAGCAAAAACTGAAACCTCCATTTTAAAACTGGAGAGACACTTACAACAAAAGACTTGCCCTAAGTCGCTTCAATACAAGGCGAAGGCAAACGTCACGCCTGACGAAACCTTTCGACAGGAAATAAGCGCTATTAAAAGTCACGCCGAAGAACAATACGTTAGCGCCCTAGTGCGCTTCCATCAGCGTAGACTTGTTAGTCACAAGAACAAACTTGAAAAGGCTAATATTGCCAAGTCTCGATCACAATACAATGTAAATACACGTGAAAGATCACGTTCGCCCTTGAGGAACACTGTAAATACTGATGTCGACAGGATAGACAAAATAGAAAATCAGCTTTCAGAGCTGAAAGACCTTATATGTACACGCTTTCAGAGTGATAATAAACATGTTGAAAAGTACAACAGTGTCATCTCTGAAAAATCAGTCGCCAAACCCACTGCAGCAAAAAGGCTATCCAAGAATAATAAACGCAAAAAGCGTAGAAAAAATACACTACACAAGCGAGTGACTACAGAAAGGGAGAAAAATGAAAAATACCTTAAAAACCTTTCAGACAATACATTAACTGATCACCAAGTCAGCGTGTTAGCAAAAGGGCTTAGATTTATTGAAACACCCGTGACAAATGAAAATAAGATCAGGCAACAATTGTTGCGTGACTTCGCACAATTCGCAAGGCGAATGAGACTTAGATATGTATTCCACGGGAATGACAAGGAACCACATCCTTTCCACGTCAAATCAAACTGGATACCACCAGTACAACCTTCTACTGCCCTTGAACGCTACTTCGAAAATATCAAGTTAAGCCTTGCTGAAATAGAAATAACAAAGCCAAAACACAACCTGTCATACAACGAACACAAAGCAGTCAAAGAACTGCAAAACAATACTGCCATCAACCTTAAACGTGCTGACAAAGGCACCACAACAGTGATTCTCAACAAGAGGGACAAAATTCAAGAGGCCCAGGTTCAGCTCGACAACAGAGACCACTACCGACCTCTTGAAAACCCCATGGTCACTGACACATTAAAAAAAGTTAATGAGCTTATTGCTCAACTGCACAATGGCAAACATATAGACGATATGACAAAAAAGTGGCTTTCACAGACTCCCAATCCGCCCAGAATACCGATTTTCTACACTTTAACAAAAATCCACAAACCTTTGCCAGTGGGTAGACCGATTATATCGGGCTGCGAAGGACCAACTGAAAGGATATCATCCTTTGTGGATCATTTATTACAGCCTATTGCTCAAAAGCAAACATCGTATCTCAAAGATACGACTGATTTCATCAACTTTATAGAGAAAACGCAAGTGTCAAATGATACTATTTTAGTATCAATGGATGTAACAAGCTTGTACACAAACATCCCACAAGAAGAGGGTATCACAATAGTATGCCAAGCATACGAAAAATACCACAATAACAGCCCTCCCATTCCGTCCCACTACTTAAAACAAATGCTCGGGCTTATACTGAAAGAAATTCGTTCCAATTCAACGGAGTAAACTATCTCCAATGTTTTGGAATTGCCATGGGAACACGAATGGCGGTTGCTTTCGCCAATCTCTTTATGGCAGAAATTGAAACAAAACTGCTTCACCAAAGCAGTATCAAGCCGAGAGTATGGAAGCGTTACATTGACGACGTTTTCTCCCTGTGGGATGTTCGTAAACAAGACATTGATCTATTCATAGAACAAGCTAACACGTTCCATCCAACTATAAAGTTCACGGCTGAAATCTCAGAGACTGAAATCACATTCTTAGACACGGTTGTCTACAAAGGTGAAAGATTCCAAAACGAAGCTATCCTCGACGTCAAAACTCACTACAAACCGACCGAGACCTTTCAATATACACACTATTCATCTTGCCACCCGCCAGGTGTTAAGAAAGGCTTTATTAAAGGAGAAGCTATCAGACTTCTAAGAACAAACTCCTCGGAAAGAAATTTCCAGGAGGCCATGTGTAACTTCAAAACACGACTTGAAGCACGTGGTTACCCAAAAAGCCTAATTGAAAAAATGTTATCTGAGGTCTCGTTTGCCGGAAGGCAGTCGACACTTAAAACAACAAAAAAACTAAAGGCAAAATATTGCCTTTTGTGACAGCATACCACCCAGGGGTTAAAAATTTAAAACAAATACTGATGCAAGAATGGAACCTCATCCAAAATCAGCCACTGCTGAAAACAATTTACAAAACGCCTCCGATTATATCATACAAAAGAGGTAAATCGCTCAAAGACATACTCGTCAGAGCGAAGCTTTAATTAAAGGCTTTTGCGTCGCAAACGTAAAACCACACAGGGGAGTCTATGTAGGCCTGTCTATGACCTTTTCACTCCATTAGGATTTCGTTAAGTTTAGAAAGCATAATTCCAGACTTGCTGTTTAAGACAAACAGTTTTCTGCCGTATCTTTCCGCACTTATGTGGTCGGAGATATGACGATAAGAGTTGAAAAGAAGCGTATAGATGTCGATGTAAAACTGTCGCAGTACTGAATTAAATTGGTCTTTGCTATTTTGATCGGTGCTATTTAGCAAAATCAAACATTCCCGGGATATCTCGATGGCTTTCTGAATGCGATCTGAGTTGAGCAGGAACAGGGAAACAAGTAAGGCGATGCTCATGAAAGCTATCATGGCTTATGCTGTTAGGTTTCCATTGCCATCCTCTCCTGTTATCAGGGAAACATTATTTTTAGTAACACAATACTAAAGGAGTTGATAATCTAGATTCATAATAAGTCACTACAAACAGGAACACACATGTTAAGTTACAAAAACGGGCTGGGTCTCTTACACCTGGAAACTTTTTGTCACGAACTGTAAGTGTTGGAATTCACAATATCGACTTAAAACAAAAAATAAGTAAAGAAGAGGATAAGTACATCAACGGATCACATTTGGTGAAACTTGTAAAATTAATTTGACCTGCACAGTTTTTCTAAATAGATGAATAAAATAAAATTACTCGGGGAAATCGAACACAAGGAAGCATAAACTAATAAGCAAACACAACTAGAATAAAGAACGTACCAGACGTGACGGGATAAGGGCCGTAGAAGCGAAACTTGACTGCGAAACTTGACTGACAACGGACAACTGATAACTAACTCGAACAATGTGACTCGCAGAATGAATAATAAATTAGCATGCAGAGCGCGAAATAACTAATGTTGACGAGGCGGCCTGGGTCGAGGGATGGTTTTACACCGGCCCCTAATAAGGGCTACTAGCCTTATTCTAATAAAAAAAAAAAAAAAACCTATACCTAAATACCTAAATTACGCAGTTCATAATAATTTCGTAGTCATGGAATTCATGACAGTTCATTCACAGAGTTCATAGTGTCATAAATTCTGGACTCCTTCGAGGAGGCACAGCTTCCTGATGTCCCGTGTGTAGACTGATGTGGCCGTTCTCACTTTAACATGACGTACGTGGCCATGGCTGTCCGGGAAACAAGAAGACTTGAATGACACCGTATCGGTTCGCTTAAGTCACACACGCGAAAACCGATCAAATTCAAGGTAAATTTTTGAAAAAGTGAGGCGTTCTTAACTGATCCAACTAACATAGCTAGCAAGTAGGTGCCATAGAAAAGGTATCTACAGAAAAAAAACTTTGCGGCCCGACCTTTACGAAAACTTTATAACTCCGTGAACTTACCTAATTTTCGGCAATCTCCAAGTTTGGTCGCCATTTTGAGGGACTCGTCAACATGAAGCGTAGCAGATATAAATCAAGCAGGTAGATCTAAGACCGTCAGAAATACATACGAAAGCGATTCAAATGAATTTCTTCCAACAATTCAAAAACTACAACTTGTGCTCGAATTCCCCTCGTCGATTCCGCCGTAAGAAATGACCTGTGCCACCCAAGCTTCGACTCGAATGTGAAGTACAAATCAAATAACATAACTGCTTCATCTTCGAGGCTGGTAGTTTGATTTTCGGATCGACAAGAACGGTGATCAGGAAGCGATCGCTATGTTTACCTCATAAACGTGACCGCTGACCAGCCGCTGGGTGAAAACAGTATAGCACGGGGTGGGGTGGTTGGTGGGCTTATCGTCATAAGATATTCGAATACATGCTTAAAAAGCTTTAGGACTCCCAGTCTAAACAGTGAAGGCATGCTTCGTGGTACAGACAACTTTCATTTTACTCTTATAACTTTCTCCTTTAAATTAGAACTGGTATTAATTAATAGAGTTATCAATATATTTTTAACCGGGGTACCCATATGACCTTTTTGCTTGTCATCAGTGGTATAAAATAAGGTGTCTTTTTTACCAGAACCTTTTATTTATGTTACAAGTACAGGAAGAAGTCGTTCGTTAGCGAGACGTTCATTATGTCTCAGGACTGCTTTTTTAATAGCAAAGATGGAAAAACTTTGGTTCATCGCGTGGTTTGGTACGACTGTCTGAATCCTGGGATCCTGTTGTGATTTTTACCTGATTACATTCATTCAGAGGCCTTCAATGGGGAGCTTGTTACTCCGGAGTAAACACTACTAAATAAGTGAGATTTTTTTTTCTCTCTAGTTTTTGTCACTTATTTGTATTCACATGTCACCCATGGTTCTTTTTTTGTCTTTCATTGTTTAACCCTTCTCAGTTTGTAATTTATACCTTTGTTGTATTACGTAACCTCAATCTTAAAATTTCTGTTTTGTATATAAGTCGCAATCATTGTAAATAGCCTTTTAGTTTGTAATTTTTAACCTGAAGAAGGCTGAACGGCCGAAAAAAATATTTAGAAAAAAAACTTTATCTTAAGCATTTCAAACTCAACCCAAGTGCAGACTTAAACTTCTTTTATTGTTGGAGATTCTTAACAGAATAAGAGTTTCTGACGATGTCTAAGTTTGATCTAAAGAAATGCGGGAAGGAGAGATTTTGCATAACTGCGCATGAACAGGGACATTTGATCCAGAAATGCGGAAGAGAGAGATTTTGCATAACTGCGCTTGAACAGTGAAAAGGAGTGCACCTTAATGCAGTAGGATGGTAAACAAGCACGTGGTAATATAGATAAAATTCATTCACACTATGGAGGTTTCGAATGAAATTGTTGAAACGTTCTGGGATCTCTTAGTACGACAAGATTACTGCCAATCAAACTCTAAGAAATTATAAACAGCGTCATTTTAATTGAGAAAAGACATGATTCATTTTGTATCGATCTGAAAAAACAAAGGAAGGGAGATATTTGATAAAACCGCACACGAGCAAGGAAAACGTATTCACCCCAATCCAGCCTAACATGGTAAAAAAGCGCATGGTAGTAAAAATATAACTTCCTTCACATCATGAATCTTTTCTGGAATATCCTAGTTCTCTAACACAACTACCACAGTCAGAACATTTGATCCAGACACCAAAAGAGTATGTTTTAAAAGTTATCGAAATGTCAGCAATGTATTCATTGCGTTGAAATGTTATCGTGGAAGAAAAAGTAAGAGTTGAATTATGTTTTTCTCCTCTTCTACGATGCTATTATCAGGTTTTTCATTGTCACTGTCGTTATCATTACCACCGTTATCCTGATCATCATGACTATCATTGTTATTGTTTCAATGTGAATCATTGCAGTTATCCGGACCTCCCGGACATCCAGGATATAATGGTACTCAGGGCCCTGCAGGACCATTCGGACTATCCGGTGTTCAGGGCCCTCGTGGGCCATCTGGGTTCAATGGTCTCCAGGGCCCACTTGGACTCGGGGCTAATTCCTGTGTTTTTAAGACTTTATCCAGCACTGGTATGGCAGCAAACTCAATCGCCCAACAAGAAATTACAGCGACGGAACCAGATGTAATTTGAGTTGAGGATTGTGAAAGTTGTTTGATTCTGACAAAAAATGTACTATTGAAAATTGCATTACGACATATTAGCACTTGAGACAATATTTACCGGTCAAAGGAGTTGTCTAAATGTCGTAAGGCCTCACTTAAAGTCATAAAGTTGAGTTATTACTTTCTAGCCATAGGCCGCATCGACTGGAGAATCAAAGCTAATTTCCTATCTTTTAAGTTTTAAATCTCCATCACCATTAAAACAAAAAGAAAATAAAACCTTTAACAACTTATTTCGAAATTCAGTACGAACTCTTTGGAAAAGTTCATTTTGCCGCCAAATGTAAGATAAAGTATTTTTTTTTGTTTTGGACAATTTCATACCTTTAAGTGTATCTACGGAATAGAACAAAAAAGCGTTATAAAATATATTAGTTTTTTTTTTCTCGCCCTATAAGTGACAACAAAAATCGATTTTACACAAACGACCTTCCCCGCCTAGCTACGCCCTTGTAATAACATACATGTATCATCTAATCGTGATTAATTTCTTGTGTGAAACCGATTTCGAGAAGTTGTCCCTGGCTGCATCAAATTTCAGTATGCGAATTTCAAAATACCACTTAAAAAAGAAAATGTAAGGGACTAAATCAAGAGTTTCAATGAGATGGTCAGCGTCAAGTATGGGACTGGAAGAAAGTTTTGTGAAAGTAAGTAGCCATGTTACCCAGAAAACTTCTCAATTTTACTACGAACTGTTGCTTTCTCATATTTAAATCTATACTGATGTTCAATGCCAAATACAGATTTCAGTTCCTTAGGACATCATCCAAATTTTACATTATATTTTGTACTAAATGGAAGAAAAGTATTT